CTGAATCAAAGTAAACAAAAGGACAGCATAAAGCAGCCAAAAAAAGGAGGAAAAACGAAAGAGGAATGAGTTGGAGGAAGGTGATACAAAAGGAAAGTATAACTCATGAGATTTCATACCCTAGAATTAAATAAGCATATAAATAAGAGATGTTACGATTTGCAGAGCTTAGCTGAAAGTTTTATACGAATTGATATGAGAAAGCTTGAAAAATTTTTAAAACAAAAATCCATTTGAATATTTGAGTTATTTTTTTTATCTATAATACATCTATTTCATACTTCATTTCGAAACTAATAATATTAAGTTTATTTATTGGGAATGTGGGACAGCATATTAAAGCAATGATTAAGAGGCAGTCAGAGTTATGTGATAGCTTCATAAATGATTGCAAATATTATCATCATTTATTGAAGGCAAAGAAAAAAGATTATTAATTATTTAAAAAAGTTATAAGCAGGACTTTTTAATATATAATTTTAATACGATCAAAAGGGGAGAAGTCATGTGATAGTTAACTAAAATATTGACATGAAATTGACATCAGAATAGTAAAGCTCATTACAATATAAATGCACACAAATTTTCGACTTGGAGTCTAAAGCAAGCTATACTAATAAGAGTAGAATCCTTGAAAAAATGTATATCATTTGCTGGAATACTAAGCTTGTTATGATATCTTTAAAAGCGTTAAGCTTAGCTTAATAAAATATCTATTTATGAGCAGTTAGATCTATGTAAACCTTTAAAGGTTAGTAAAGTAGAAGGCTTAGAGTGAACCTTAAACATGCTTTTATCTGCTTGACTCAGACTCTAATCTTTTTACATCTTTATTTAAACTCGATATATATCACAACTTCAGGCTTGTCTGCTTCAATGGCTTAACAAATTTCAGGTCAACACTGTAATACCCTATGCAAGCGCATAAAAATGGTAACGAATAAAAGATAACCCCTTGTAAGCAAATCCACAAGCAGGAACCAACACAGATGACAAGGCTAACCACGATAAAGAATGAGTTTTTTTCTTCTGTTTCTCCGCAGCAGTAGACAAAGAGCGAGAGAGAGAGAGAGAGATAGAGTGTAGGAGATAGAAAGAGAGAGTGGGGAATTAAAGACAGAGACGAGTGAATGGTGCGATGCCAGCATGAAGCATGTTAATGAGCTGAACGTGAGAGCGAATTGAGGCGATTTATGGCTGACTCCGTGTGGAGGAGTCGCCCGTTGGGGCGACTCTGCGATTAGCTTTTTAACGATTTTATGTGTTATGTGGGCTATGTATTCATATTGCTGTGTACTCCACTCTCAACACTCCAGGTGTGTGTGCGTGTCTTTTTGTACAGTGTGTGTGTGTGTGTGTGTTGGTGTTGGTGTGGTTAGCATAACACAGACGGACAGACAGACAACGAGACAGCGACAGCGGCTTTCAATTCAATTCAATTTTCATGGGCACTGTGGCATTGCCAGTGTCTGGCGTCTATGCAAATGCTTTTCATATTTTCTTCTTTTGCGCTTTCCTTACCCTTGTCCTTGCGACTGGTGGTCTTTGAACTGGAATCGCCACCACCTTTCGGACGGCTCAGTGCACCCGTGGTCTTGCCCGACTTGCGCTTTACACGTTGCAGGGCCACTGCTGCACTGCTCGACTGATTGCCATGATTTATAATATCCACCTCCAATTGCCCGGCATCGCCTTTGGCATCGATGCTGCGGCGCCAACGCGATTCCATGTCACGCTGGTCGAGCTCTGCAGCGTGACTGTCACCGCGTCGGCGATGGTGCTCCTGCTTTGGCTTCGGCTCCGGCTCAGGGTCCAGCTCCTGCTCCACCTCCAGCTCCTGCAGCTGTTGCTGTTGTTGCTGCTCCTGTTGCTCCTGCTGCTGCTTCTCTGCTTCCGCCTGCTGTTTGGCTGCCTCCGCCTGCTTCAGTTTAAGCTTCTGCAATAACTTGATGCACTTCTCGCTGCTGCCATCGGCCAGGCATTTGGTTAGCCTTGCCTTCTGCTTCAACTTGTGCAATTTGGCGCGCAGCTGGAGATTGGGTTCACGTGATTTGAGTATGTCCGCAATGTGCACGTAATAGACATCACCATCGGCAGCCAATTTGCTGCCCGCCCAGCGATCCGTGTCCGGCGAGGCCTCCGCATCGTGCAGTATGGCATGTCGCTTGTAACGACTGCCACGCCCACGTGCCGTTTGTCCATTCTCATTCTCCAGGCGACGTCGACGACCGGAACCGGAGCGTCGCTTCTTGCCCTGCTTACGATTGGTGTTCAGTCGCTTGTATGCCCCATCCTCCAGCTCAGTGCCGTGTAGCTCATCCGTTTCATCCTCCAAACTGTGGTCATCCACTAGACTGGCTGCCGCATCGCCGGCATGCAGCTCATCATGATGTGGATGATGCTGATGATGATGATGATACTGCTGCTGCTGCTGATGTTGTTCATCGTCGCCAAAGTCCACCGAATAGGGATTCACAATGGCCGCATGATTCTCTTTGGCTGCATGCAGCTTATCCACAAATTCCACATCGGCTGTGGTAAAGTCCTCTGGTAGATAGACCTGGGTTGTCTCAAACTTCGCATACGGCTGCTCAGTTGTCATTTCCGGTTTGAAAATGGTGAAGCGCACATCCGGCGCCCGACAACCCGGCGATGCATCTGCAAACAGCAAAAGAAACCGAAAGAGAGATTCAGTAAGTGAGTAAGATAGAGATAGAGAAAGAGAAAGAGAGAGGGAGAAGCAGAACGAGTTAGAGACTGGCATTGAGTAGCTGAACTTTTGCCATAAATATTTCATATATGATCTAATTTAATAACTTGGCAACTTTGACTGACTTTGAAGTGCAATCGAAATTGCAAATTTCCAATATGCATTGGCATTTGGCATTTCCGCATAGCACAGCGCACACACACACACACACACTCGCACAAGTTTCAATTTGCAATTGAGCAAAGTCATGCAAGCATTTTCCGTCCGAGCTGCAGCATCATTTTCCATTTCCCCATTTCAATAGGAATAGTCAGCCTTAAAGGTTCGGCCAACTGCAACTGCCAAGCGTCGTTGTTGCGTTCAAGTTTTCTCTTTTCAAACATATTTGTGTACCCTGTACTTGTGGGAACTTAATAAAATATATATATTTGTGGATATTCGAATATCGTAGAAGTATTATTAGAAATGTCTGCAGATCCCTATAGGTATTTATCATTAAATGAAAATTAATATAGTTATCGAAATAGGTAGGTAAAAATTTCTTTATATTTTTATATCATTGAAATTTTAACATTAAGTAAAAAAGAAATGCATAAAATTGTAAAGCTGAGAGAAACTGAAATATAAAGAAATAAAGTCAGACTATAATCTTTGAAATATGTTTATAATATAATATATATGATAGTATCATATCATCTCTTAAGCTCACATATTACTCAAATATTAAAACTAATTTTGTTATATTTAAAAATAAAATGAATAAAAATATTTAAATAAAAAATTGTATATTCTATATAAATAGGAATATGATATATAAAATATTATATATATATATATATATATATATATATATATATATATATATATATATAGATATGATTACATTCAGTTCAAAATAGTCTGTCTAGCATACCCATACATAGCATGGCTAATTCCAGTTTAATTTCTTTCCGTGTTTTTTATTAAATACTTTAATAATTATATATACAAACTAGATATATATTTAATATATATAGCATTTATTATATTGTATTATTGCTCAGCACCCAAGGAAAGTGGGTCAAATGCAATGTAAAGCAGCTAAATTGCATTGCTCGCTTTTAATTTATGCAATTCAATTGCCAATTTGCCGAAAGCAAAATGCAAACGCAGTTCCAGTTCCAGTTCAAGTTGCAGTTGCCGTTGCAAATGCAAATGGAAAAGCAAATGTTTCTCAAAGTGCGAACACTTAAATGCAACTCATTTAATTAGAACAGCTTGAAATGTTGTTAACAATTGTTGCAAATACAATTTGTGCCACAAATGAACTAGAGAAGCACTTGGGAACTGTACAACTGGGCAGCAGATATGCATACATAGAGAAACCTATTATTAGACCTGTTATGCAAGGGCAATGGAAAAACTTATCAATGAGTACATCTAGATATTAATTGCAAGTAATTATCTTTATCAAAACTATTTTCCCAAGTAAAAGTTGGGTAAAAGCACTACAGTTGGATATGCTGGACTAGAAAATATCCTGAATTTAAGCCAATATTATCTATGATGAGTTTAGATACCAAAACATAATGAAAATATGAACTTCGATACATTTTAACAAATATTTATGTTCTGTCAAATCATGATGAAAGGTCTTAATGAAACTCTATATTTAGATACTCATGCTGAAAAGAGCATACAAAAGTGATGCCTCACCATGAGAACTCAATGCGATAACTATCCATGCGAAAAATAGCTGTACACTGCGATTAAAAGTCTGAGAGTGTTACATATCTACATATGTAATATATATATATATATATATATATATATATATATATATATATATATATATATATATATATATCATATCAATATATATATACATATTTTATATATATATATATTTATATATACATATAAAATATGTATAATCTAACTATACTATATACCTAATGTTTGATATACCTTGAACAGCCAGCTATTATAAATACATATACTATATATTTATAAAACTAATTGTGATGAGAATTTAATTCATTTTATTTTTTTTTTTTTTGCTGGGAGAACAAGTTTTTATTAAAAAATGATTATACGCTTTGCTCTCCTCCATACAGAAACATAGTCAAACAAGTCTAATTTCACTCTCATATTATACTACCACAAACTTGAATACTGTATAGCAATATTGCATTCACAATATTATCTAAAGCGAATATTATTGCGACTCAGACAACACTTTATGACGTAGGGTCTGGCCATGGTATTTAAGGTAGTGCCGAGCTCATTGTTACATTCACTGCTTTTCGCTTGTTCGGTGAAATAGAACGTGTTACGCGACTGCTTTGAAATGGTTTTGGCTTTGCTGCTGCTAATCGGTTTGGCCACGCTTATCTTCTGGCTATATAGAATTAATAAGGAATACTATGTGCTTGCCTTCTTTGCCAAGCGAGTGCGCACTAACGATGGACGACCCGTAGAAAGCATAGCTCCTGTCTGTGAAGGGCGAACTATATTTGGAAACTCGTTCGATCTGTATGGCATGGATGATGGTCTGTGATATTGCTCAAAACTAAATATCCAACATAACAATATATTTATATTCCCCACAGTTGAAGTTTTTAAATATATACACGAACGTTCTGAGAAGATGGGTTGCAGCTATTTGGAATATGTAATGGGATCAGCTATTTACAATATAATCGATGCGGACAACTTTGAATTCATAGTGAATCATAAAGATCTGATAACCAAGGGCATTGTATACGATTTTATGCAACCTGCCCTACGACTAGGTCTACTAACATCCTCAGGTAAGTCACGTAATACACTGCATTATAGACTATATGTAATATAATAAATTCTAATCAAATATTACAAATTTCAGGTCAGAAATGGCACTCACGTCGCAAACTACTCACACCCACCTTCCACTTCAATATCCTGGGTCAATTTAATGAGGTTTTTAAGTAAGATTCATTTAAAGTTATGTAACTTTGCCTTTATTGTGTTTCATTTTATTTTAAATTAAATTTTCGATTATTTTAGAGCTGAGAGTTTGAAATTGGTGAAACAATTTGAAGACAATGCAGAGACTTCTGTGTCTCTAAGTGAGCTCATACCCAGGTTTACTCTCAACAGCATCTGTGGTAAGTTCGCTAAGCTGACTGTTCACAGAGCCACCTGAGTAAACATAATTAAAATATTTTCTGCAGAGACAGCCATGGGTATCAATTTGGATGACATGGCTGCTAAGGGGGATCGTTATCGCGAGAACTTTAGCATGATCGAAAAGAGATTTGTAAAGCGAATAGGCAATCCCCTCTTTTGGAATAATACCATCTATAATCTATTTGGACCCAGTGACGAAAAGACGTTTTTAAAGGAAATTCATGATTTCTCCAGCGAAATTATAGCCAAGCGTAGAACTCTATTCGCGCAGGAAATCAAAGATAAGCAAAGCTCTGAGCCTGAAGAAGATGATATGTAAGTTAATATGATAAATGAGCTAATGCCTTTATAATTATCTGTATTTTCATGACCATTTCAGTTACATCAAGAAAAAACAACGCTTTGCCATGTTGGATACTCTTATCATGGCTGAAAAGGATGGAGCCATTGATCATGAGGGCATTTGCGAGCAGGTGGATACACTCATGTTTGGGGGTTTTGATACCACTTCCATTGGCTTAATATTTGGACTTATGAACATGGGCTTATATCCGGAAGAGCAAGAACTGTGCTATCAGGAGATATGCGAGCACATAGCTGGTAAATCATACTTAGAAAATGTATCAATCAGAATCGTTTTATCTCGTTCGCTCTTCCAGATGACTTCAGCAATTTGGACGTTAATCAGTTGTCGAAACTCAAGTATTTGGATTGCTTCATTAAGGAAACAATGCGTCTATATCCATCAGCACCCTCGATTGGTCGTCAAACAATTAAAGATACCGAACTGGCCAATGGCCTGATATTACCCGCTGGCGCCCAAATTGTACTCAACATTTATGAGCTGCATCGCAATCCCAAATACTGGAGCACCCCAGAAGAATTTCGACCCGAACGCTTTCTGCCTGAGAACAGCAAAGATCGTCATACCTATGCCTATATGCCCTTCAGTGCGGGTCAACGCAATTGCATTGGTGAGGTTGATAGCGATAAATATGTGAATATGTTTGTTCTATTATCTCTGTTTCACAGGTCAAAAATATGCCATGCTCGAGATGAAGACACTAATGAGCGTTATACTTACAAAATTCAAGATTTTACCCATTGTCAATCCCAAGGATTTGGTTTTTAACTCAGGCATCACATTAGGTTGCAAAACTAATGTTAAAGTCAAACTTGTTAGACGTAGTTAGGCCCTCAAATCAATTAAAACCAATCGAATTATCAATCAATTGATAAAGCAAAACGAACACTAAAACTGCTGATACTAGATTTATAATCAAAGAGAATAATTATTAATATATTTTTAATTATAAACATGTAATTATTTGTGCTAACATTATTAAAAAAATGTTTCCTGGAATTTTGTTAATTTGTTTGTTTGTTTGCTGTCGCTTCTTTTAGAAAGAGGTAAGATATATGCTTTATGCATTCTCTCCTGACTTTTATTTTCTCTTGATTTTAAATGTTGTTCTTGTAAACTTTCAATAATACTTTTATATTGAACTTAAAAAAATTCTCAAAAATATTTAGAATTAGTTCTGCGTTCCATTGCAACAATTAACACCTGTTGCCAATCATCAATATTTGATTGTAGCCATATCATTAGCTTGAATAAATGTGATAAAAATTTCCACAGAAATATGATTAAAATCAGCTGATAATACAATATTTAATCAAGTTTCTTGATTCCATACAAAGTACATAAAAACAGTCATATATTATAATCTATTGATATTTCAGTATTACATAGTCTGGAATCCCCAATCTAACGTCAACTGTCTGATTACTGTTTACTTGTTACTGTTGGACAATTGTTTTACCAGCTATAAACGATTTCAATATCATGGAAATGTAAGTAGTTATCGATGAATTCGAATAAATTTATTCACGAACGACAAATGGAGAGATGGATATACTAACAGACAGACAGCCCTATATCAAGTATCAGGAATATATACTTTATGATGTAGAGCAATCTTCCTTCAGCCTATTAGATATATTTCAGCAGACATTTTATATCCTAGAATATGTAAGCTTGATTTTGTCAAATCATGATGAAAAGCATTAATTCAGCATGATTTGCAGTTCATTATTTCGAGACTCATGCTGAAAAGTACAAAAATATTGTTGCTTCACCATGAGTATTATAAACACTTGCGAAGCGAGAGCAAGTTCTGATTTGGCAATATTCATTCGCTTTGTTCTCCCACATGCAGCCAGACCCCAAAAATTCTAATCTCTCGCTCTCCCTCTCTTATACTCTGCCAACAGCAACTTGAATACCGAATTTTATTACGACTCAGAAAACATATTATGACGTTGGGCCTGTCCATGGTATTTAACGTAGCGTAGAGCAAATATTTTCAGTCACTGCTTGTTGCTTGCTCAGTGAAATAGAACGTACTACGCGCCGCTTTGAAATGGGTCTGGGGTTGCTGCTGTTGATCGGGCTAGGCACGCTTATCGTCTGGCTATATAGAATCAATAAGGAATACTATGTGCTGGCCTTCTTTGCCAAGCGAGTGCGCACTAAAGATGGACGACCTGTGGAGAGCATAGCTCCGATAGCTGAGAGCCGCACCATTTTTGGCAATTCGTTTGACTTGTTTGGCATGGATGATGGTCGGTAACAATCTCCAAAGCTAAATATCCATCAGAATTATATGTATATAATATATATTTCATACAGTTGAAGTTTTTGAGGATGTCCACCTTCAAGCTCAGAAAATTGGTCGCAGCTATTTGGAATATGTAATGGGATCAGCTATTTTCAATATAATCGATGCGGACAACTTTGAATTCATAGTGAATCATAAAGATCTGATAACCAAGGGCATTGTATACGATTTTATGCAACCTGCTCTACGATTAGGTCTACTAACGTCCTCAGGTAAGTCACGTAATACGCGATATCGTAGACTACAATAAATTCTAATCAAATATTACAAATTACAGGTCAGAAATGGCACTCACGTCGCAAACTACTCACACCCACCTTCCACTTCAATATCTTGGGTCAATTTAATGAGGTTTTCAAGTAAGTTTAACTTAAAGTTATGGAAATTAGATTTGATTTTATTCTAATTTTAATTATTTCAGAGCTGAAGGTTTGAAATTTGTGCAACAATTTGAAGGCAATGCAGAGACTTCTGTATCTCTCAGTGAACTCATACCCAGGTTTACTCTTAACAGTATTTGTGGTAAGTTTTTCATACTAAACATAGATTGTACAATTTCTGAAATATTTACTTGCAGAGACAGCCATGGGTATTAAACTGGATGACATGGCTGCCAAGGGAGATCGCTATCGTGAGAACTTCAGCATGATTGAAAAGAGATTTATAAAGCGGGCAAGCAATCCACTTTATTGGAATAATACCATCTATAATCTATTTGGACCCAGTGACGAAAAGACGTTTTTAAAGGAAATTCATGATTTCTCCAGCGAAATTATAGCCAAGCGCAGAACTCTATTCGCGCAGGAAATCAAGGATAAGCAGAGCTCTGATCCGGAAGATGAGGATATGTAAGTGAACATGATATTAAATTACAGCTAAACAGACTACTATATTTATACTTTCAATCAAATTTCAGTTACACCAAGAAAAAACAACGCTTTGCCATGTTGGATACTCTTATCATGGCTGAAAAGGATGGAGCAATTGATCATGAGGGCATTTGCGAGCAGGTGGATACACTCATGTTTGCAGGCTTCGATACCACTTCCATTGGTTTGATATTTGGGCTTATGAATATGGGTTTATATCAGGAGCAGCAAGAGCTGTGCTATCAGGAGATATGCGAGCACATAGCTGGTAAGCCTACATCGGAATATTACATGAAAAACTTATCTTAACTTTTAACTTGTTCGGTCTTCCAGACGACTTCAGCAATTTGGACGTTAATCAGTTGTCGAAACTCAAGTATTTGGATTGTTTTATTAAGGAAACAATGCGTTTATATCCGTCGGCACCCTCAATTGGTCGTCAGACAACAAAAGATACCGAACTTGGCAATGGCCTAATATTACCCGCTGGCTCTCAAATCATACTCAACATTTATGAGCTGCATCGCAATCCCAACTACTGGAGCTCACCTCTGGAATTTCAACCCGAACGCTTTCTGCCTGAGAACAGCAAAGATCGTCATACCTATGCCTATATGCCCTTCAGTGCGGGTCAACGCAATTGCATAGGTAAGTCTCATTAAGAATTATCTTTTAAAAATACAATATCTCTTATTTGATCTCTGTTTCTCAGGTCAAAAGTATGCCATGCTCGAGATGAAGACATTTATCACTGTTATCATTAAGAAGTTCAAGATTTTACCCATTTTCCATCCGAAGGATTTGCGCTTAAGCTTGGGAATCACACTAGGTTTTAAAAATAATATTAATGTCAAACTGGTGAGACGTAGTTAGACATTTAAGTCATTTAAAAGCAATCAATATTTATGTATTATGAAAGGTTTTAACTGATAACTATATTAGCTGAATAGATAATGTTCATGCTCATACTTATAAATTATAATATATATGTAATTATATTTAATTGTTTGTGATAACATAAGAAATTAAAAGTTTCCTTCTGATTATTTAAAATGTTTTAAATATTATTACTACATACGATAAGGCAAGTAAATGTATTCGTTTGTTCGCTTATCTCTCGCCTATATTAAGAAGAGATAAGAAAATTCTATGTTTTTGCTCTCTTAACTTTTATGCTCTCTTAATACTGAGCCGTAGCAAATTCAGTTCAGGGTTCAGGGTATATGCTAGTCATACACTTCCTACTAGAGCACTCTTACTTTTTATTTAAAAAATATAATACTTAAATACTAAAAATAAGCATTTTTACATTAAAAAATATTTTTTTATGTTCTTTTTAATTTTAAAATATTTAATGAACATTTTTCAAAACATTTCAGCAATCCATAGTAGCAATTATTATTCGTTTCTAATCATAACTATAGTATATTGGCTATTTGGACTAATCATGATGATTGAGCCAACTTTTAGTACAAGATACTACGTTTAACGCTGATAAAGCTATCATTCTAATAAAATTTATTTTTAGCCTAGACTATTTTAAATATATCAAGATCAACATCTATATTTTACACTCGTTGTACACCTATAATTGCTGTAATCAAACAACGAAAATTAAGTTTAATTTATTTTGCTGATATAACCCGTTGAATCAGCCTTGCAAACCTACCAACCCACATTTTATATAATACTGCATTAAAATATATGTTTATATATATATATATATATCAGTCTCTTATCTCTCTGCTCAAAGAGCATTTAGCACAAAAGCCGGCTGTTCATTTAAACAACAAACAACAAAGTAATCGTATACGTTTTTTAGTCCAAAGATAATATTTAGTGTCCATAAAGTAGTTTTGTTTTGTTCAGTCAGTATTGAGCGCTTGCACGGACCAGTTCGATTACGTTAAAATGGGCTTAGGCTTGCTGCTGTTGATCGGGCTAGGCACACTTATCTTCTGGCTATATAGAATCAATAAGGAATACTATGTGCTGGCCTTCTTTGCCAAGCGAGTGCGCACTAAGGATGGACGACCCCTGAATAGTATAGCTCCAGTAGCTGAAGGAAGCACTATATTTGGAAACTCTTTCGATTTGTATGGCAGAAATGAATGTAAGTAAAATATTCCAAGCCAACAAACTTTAAACGAATTCTATTTTTGTCTTTCGCTTTCAGCTGAAGTGTTTAGTGATATGCGCGTTAGAGCCAAGAAAATGGGTCGTAGCTACATAGAATATGCCATGGGCACATCCATATATTGTATTATCGATGCGGACACCATTGACGTCGTGTTAAATGATCAGAACCTGATAACCAAGGGGCTCGTATACGAATTCTTGCATCCGGCTCTACACACGGGCCTACTGACATCAACCGGTATACAGAGGGCAGATTGTTGCGGCATTGAACTTGATTAAACATAAACAATTTCAGGTCAGAAATGGCACTCGAGACGCAAGATGCTCACACCCACATTTCATTTCAATATCTTGGGACAGTTTGCTGACATTTTCAAGTATGTTTTATAACTATTTTTAAAAACTTAATATTGATTTCCACTTATATTTTCCATATAGAGCCGAGAGTTTGAAATTCGTGCAGCAATTTGAAGGAAAGGCGGAAGCTTCTATCTCTCTAAGTGAACTCATACCAAGGTTTACTCTGAACAGTATTTGTGGTAAGTTTGCCATACTCAATGCTTACTGTACAAGTTCTCAAATATTTACTTTAAGAAACCGCCATGGGTATTAAACTGGATGACATGGCTGCCAAGGGAGATCGCTATCGTCACAGCTTCAGCATGATTGAAAAGATCTTTATAAAGCGAATGAGCAATCCAATCTATTGGAATGATCATTTGTACAATCTTTTCGGCTCCAGTGAGGACAAACGCTTCTTAAAGGAAGTTCATGATTTCTCTAGTGAAATTATAGCCAAACGTAGAAAACTTTTGGAAGAAGCAGAGAAAGAAAAGCAAAGCTCTCAAGAAGCAGACGATGATATGTATGTGAAATGGACCAAATTATTTATGATATTTTTATTCAAGAGATATATATATATTTTCAATATTTACCATTTTAATTTAGATACATCAACAAGAAACAGCGCTTTGCCATGCTGGATACACTTATCTTTGCGGAAAAGGATGGCTTAATTGACCATGCAGGAATTTGCGAAGAGGTGGATACGCTCATGTTTGAGGGCTTCGACACCACGTCTATTGGCTTGATATTTGGACTTATGAACATGTCTCTGCATCAAGATAAGCAAGAACTGTGTTATCAGGAGATAAGTGAACACATAGCTGGTGAGATTTGCCTTAAGAGCTGCATTTTCAATTGTTATCCCATTTCTTTTCTACACCAGACGATTTCAGTAATTTGGACCTTAATCAGATCTCTAAATTAAAATATCTGGAGTGTTTTGTTAAGGAGACGGTTCGCTTGTTTCCCTCGGTGCCGATTATGAGCCGTGAGACAGTCAAGGAAACAGAATTGGCCAATGGTCTGATATTGCCCCCAGGAGCGCAGATTGTCATGCATATCTATGAAATACATCGCAATCCCAAATACTGGAGCTCACCTCTGGAATTTCAACCCGAACGCTTTCTGCCTGAGAACAGCAAAGATCGTCATACCTATGCCTATATTCCGTTCAGTGCGGGTCAACGTAATTGCATTGGTAAGTTTAAGTGAAATAAATATGTAAAGGGAAGTGATAATGATTATTCATCCCCACAGGTCAAAAGTTTGCCATGCTCGAGATGAAAACACTGCTCATCGTAATACTTAAAAAGTTCAACGTCTTGCCTCTCGTCGATCCTAAAGATTTCGTTTTTAATACTGGCATCACATTGCGTTGTAAAAATAATATTAAAGTGAAATTAGTCAGACGCAGTTGATTGTCAGCAAAATTGCCCATAAGCGGCTATTTTAAGAAGTTTGTTTGACTAATTTCGAAGCTAATTGTGAATAAGATATATTTTGCTTAAAATCTGTAATTACTTCTTTTCTGTTGGCATCAATGCTTAGCTCAGAGCTCTATAACAAATATTTACAATTGGTTTTTTAGCTCAATCACGATGATTGGGTTGCTTTTCAACTTCAATAAGTTCTTAGCTCAATATCTAAACAACAACTGCGGAAATAGTTTTTGAATACTAATAATAGACTAATAAAAATTATTCAATATTGCAGAGAGAACCCGTTTGTGCGCCGCTACCAATCTACAGCCCATGTTATTTAGAATCAGTCTATTTCTGCTCAGAAAGAATGAAACAGCTTTGTTTACACGAGCACACAACAAACTAATCTTTACTGCATCTCTTATATACTTTACTACAAATAAGATAATATCCAATGCTCGGCTGTGCGAGACTCTTATTGAATAAGTTTCTCAGCTTTACTCGAGCGTGTTTCAGTCAGTGTTGAGCGCTTGCTCAGACAGGTTCGACTGCGTTAAAATGGGTTTGGGCTTGTTGCTGTTCATCGGGCTAGGCACGTTTATCATCTGGCTATATAGAATCAATAAGGAATACTATGTGCTGGCCTTCTTTGCCAAGCGAGTGCGCACTAAGGATGGACGACCCGTGGAGAGCATAGCTCCGATAGCCGAAGGACGAACTATATTTGGGAACTCTTTCGATTTGTATGGCAGAAATGATGGTGAGTCTAAAGCTGAGCAACAAAGTTAAGCCGATGTCTAAGCCCTAATTTAAGCTGAGGTGTTCAGCGATTTGCGAGCAAAGGTCAAGAAAATTGGTCGCAGCTATTTAGAATATGCCATGGGCAGAACCAAGTTCTGTATAGTCGATGCGGACAACTTTGATGTCATATTAAATGATCAGAATCTGATAACCAAAGGGCTCGTATACGAATTCTTGCATCCGGTTCTACGCACGGGTCTGTTGACATCAACAGGTAAGGCGAGCTATACATTTATGATATTTAACTGGGATTAATGCTTCGAAATTTCAGGTCAGAAATGGCATTCAAGACGCAAGATGCTCACACCCACGTTTCATTTCAATATCTTGAGCCAATTTACAGAGATTTTCAAGTAAGTTTCTTACAATACTTAATAATTGTAACTTATATTGAAATTTAATTTATAGAGCGGAAAGCTTTAAGTTTGTTCAGCAATTTGAGGGAAAGTATGAGACTTCCATTTCTCTAAGTGAGCTCATACCAAGGTTTACTCTAAACAGTATTTGTGGTAAGTTTGCTAACCTCAATAAGCACTGTAATTCTACATAAAATATTCGTATTTAGAGACGGCCATGGGCATTAAGCTGGATGACATGGCAGCCAAGGGAGATCGCTATCGTGAGAACTTCAGCATGATCGAAAAGAGATTTATAAGCCGTCTAAGCAATCCGATCTATTGGAATGAAACTATTTATAATCTCTTTGGCGCCAGTGATGACAAACGATTCTTAGAGGAAGTTCATGGTTTCTCTAGTGAAATCATAGCCAAACGTAGAAAACTTTTGGAAGAAGCAGTTAAAGAAAAGCGAAAAACTCAAGAAGCTGATGACATGTAAGTTAAGTCCATCAAATTATTTATCATATACAAGAGATACATTTTCTTTATGTGCTATTTAAATTTAGCTACATCAACAAGAAACAACGCTTTGCCATGCTGGATACACTTATCTTTGCGGAAAAGGATGGCTTAATTGATCACGTGGGAATTTGCGAAGAGGTGGATACACTCATGTTTGAGGGCTTCGACACCACGTCTATTGGCTTGATATTTGGACTTATGAACATGTCTCTGCATCAAGATAAGCAAGAACTGTGTTATCAGGAGATAAGTGAACACATAGCGGGTGAGATTTGCCTTAAGAGCTGCATTTTCAATTGTTATCCCATTTCTTTTCTACACCAGACGATTTCAGTAATTTGGACCTTAATCAGCTCTCTAAACTAAAGTATTTGGAGTGCTTCATTAAGGAGACGATGCGCTTATTTCCCTCGGTGCCCATTATGAGCCGGAAAACAATAAAGGAAACGGAATTAGCCAATGGCCTGATACTACCTTCCGGCGCCCTGACAGTGCTGCATATCTATGAGCTACATCGCAATCCCAAATACTGGAGTTCACCTGAGGAATTTCAGCCTGAACGCTTTCTGCCTGAGAACAGCAAAGATCGTCACACCTATGCCTATATGCCCTTCAGTGCGGGTCAACGCAATTGCATAGGTAAGTTTGACAGGGACAAATATGTGAATATGTCTGAGCTTTTATCTCTGTTTCTCAGGTCAAAAGTATGCCATGCTTGAGATGAAGACACTGCTCATTGTAGTTCTAAAGAGGTTCAAGGTTTTACCTCTCATCGATCCTAAGGACTTAGTTTTCCAAACTGGCATCACATTGCGTTGCAAAACTAATATTAAAGTAAAACTAGTCAAGCGTGGGTAGGTTTTATCTTTTAAGTAACTTGAACTTATCTAGTTGTTATCAAGGGCAGCAATGGTAGCAAATGTTAATATTTAAGATTATTTTATTATTTTGCAATTTAGTTGTAGATATGGTTGCTCGTCTTGGTTATAAATATGTATTCTTTGTAATTTGTAAGACTATTAATTTATTAAATTTAAAGTCAAAGTCTGTCAAAACAGTCGCTGTTTAAGACGAACTCTTAAAACTGCGCCCAGTCAGCAGACGTCATTCGGTTTTGGGCTGATAATCGTTGGCAATGGGCCACTGTTGGCAGCTGCAGCTAGAAACGCTGGGAGTTGCATTTACCGCCTACCCCTGTAGCTGCAGCTGTTCTATAAATCATTCATGCACAGCCAAGCAAAAGCAGTTTTCCCACAATGAAGAAGTCTGGGTAGCCTGGGCTTTATGCAAAACACGCATACGCCAGAGCCAAAAACTGAAGGCGAGAGAGATGCTGAGCTGAAGCCAAGACGTTGCCAGGATTCGAGTCATCTTTATCTTTCACTGCACACATAGCACATAATATGCCGGGGACTGGGTAACTGGGAACTGAGAACTGGCGCACGACCAGCTCCTGGGGACTGTGCAGCAGGAAGCTGTCTTGGGCGACTTTTTGTCATTTGCCTGCTGCGTTTCTTTCGTCCTCCGTTCTTGCAGTTGTCGCTTTTGATTTTGACAGTTCGTTACTCGGTTATACCATTTGCATGCATAATGCACAGGCGGGCGGAACCAGAATAACAGCAGGCCAGAACCAGGAACTGCAACTCGAACTCCAGCTCGAAGTCTTACACAGCATTAGAAGCGGGCCAGCAGCACGCTAAGCGCTGCAGCTGGCCAGGCAACATGTGAGAACAGGTCCCCGTTCTCAGTTCCCAGTTCCCAGTTGCTGTCCTGCGGGCATGTAACACACATCAACATCAACATCATCATTATCAACATGATCATCAGCTAGTCATCTTCGTCATCAACTGGGACACAAAAAATGCCATAAACTACAAGAGCGCAGGGAATCGGCTACAACTGGCCGAAGGAAAGATGCTCTTTAAGGTCTTTGTGACTTGAAAATGACTTGGAAAATTTACAAAAAAAATATAGTTATTGATATAGATAATAGCTTTAATATTCAAAGAAATATGATATATATTGATATAGATAAAATCTTTAAGAAGTTTGGGAATCAACTTTTTTTCTGATAGAAAAAATATTATTTAGACTCTATTTTTATATAAACTGATGCAGTCTTTGATAGAAGTATCTCTTAGTAGAAGCTTTGCTTTAGAATTAATTGACTAACCAAACGATATTGTATAGAAAAAATGGCATCAAATTCGATATACAGCTAGATTTATGATCTTTATCATCAATTCATACCTATACAGATCAGATACTCTTTGCTCAACGATTCTGAAACTTTGACTTCAAATTTAATTTCTACTTCCACTTCTTTTTCTACTTCTACTTTTACTTCTTTTTCTACTTCTACTTCTATTGCTTAGCCCAGTTTATAGTCTATATCAGTTTGCTTATAGATTTTTAAATATTTTTTGGAAATTATAAATTCAAACAATTTTGTATTTCATACACTTCTTTGCTTCATGCCAAAATGCAACTATCCCTGAGTTAGGGCATAGAAATAGCTTTAAGATTTATGGCACATGCTTCAGCTTGATGCACAATTGTGCAGACTGAGCGACATTTTTAGTTGCCATTTGGCTTATTGCAGATTCCATCTAGCTGTGTTCTTTTTTTCTTGTTCCTTCTCTCGTTTCTAGTTCCAAAAAAAGCGATTTGAGCTTTGCTATGGCTGTTCATGCAAATTAAATTCCAACTGCTGTGCGTGTGTGTGTGTGTGTGTGTGTGTTGGTGTCTTGGTCTTGGTCAAATATTTTAGCTGGCGAAATGGAAAGTGCTTGCAACTGGCCAACAGCTGCCGTCAAAAACGGTTAACTTCCGCCCGCAACACCTGTGTCAACACGAATGCAAATTCACAAAAAATTCAACTCAATTTCAATTGCACAAACTGCGCAATTTTGATGAGAATCAACTGCGTCGCAGCTTTTGCCAATGAGATCATCAGCAGCAGCAGCAGCAGCAGCAGGATGTACCCAAAAAAGATAGCAAAAAAAGGCGAAATTTATTACTTAATGCGCATCTGCTTTTGCGTAACAAATTGCGTGTGACAACCGCCGCAGCATTGAGCACTTTTCACAACCACTCAACCACCTCAAGCCCCCACAACAGACCACTCCACCACCAAACTCCACATGCTATTAATATCTATTAAACAGCCCTCGATAGCTGCCATACTTCATTAAATGCTTTCATGCAATCGTACTACCTATTTTTTCTCAGTGTGTGTGTGTGTGTGTGTGTTTTTGTGTCTGTTGACTCTGATTGGGATTAAGGTTTGGCCAGCAGGCCTCGTTTTGATTGCCTCTGTGCCATAACACTGACTGTGATTGGGGAGTTGGGCGCCAGAGTTGCAAGGGTAGACGCTGTGAACGTGAAATATTTCATTTGCTGCGAATTATTTGCCCTGCGCTCTGTGCTCTGCGCCGCTGCCGTTGCCGCTGCCGTTGCCTTTGCTTTTCATTCGCTTTTGTTTTCGTATAACTCAGTTAACTCTATTAGGCATCAGGTATTCACGTTTATTCAATAATTTTGCAACAGAAATTTGCAATATATGCTGTCGTATGAAGTTTTCTTGATAACTATATACTATATATCTTTTATGATACGATTTCATATACTTAAGCTGAGTTCCAGACTAAATTTGATAAGAAGTCGCTAAACAAATGATTGGCGTATAGCTTAAACTGAAAGATTATATTGCATTAATTTGTAAACAAATATTGATATGGATTCTTATCATATCTGCAAACTTAATATAAATTCTGTTTAGCTGTCTAGCAACAGATAATTATAGAAAAATAAAATTAGGCATGATTAAAAACTTAAGCAAATTAAATTTGTAATTGAATCTTAAATAAATTAAAATTGAATATATGATATAAAATATCTATATATTAAAATATAAGTTGAATATATCATTTTAAACGTATAACTCTTTTGTATTATTTATTGATTTCTAGACTTTTTTGCTTTAATTTTTCTAATATATAAAAGTTTCTAAAAATGTCTGCTGCTAAGTATATTGTAAAATAAAATCTAAAAAATCAAAAAATGCTTTTAAATTTAATTTTAGCACATAGCAAATATTTAACTTTAACACAGAACGTGAATCAGGCAAAATTCTGAGGACACGCCGTAAAGATTCGTAGCTTTACTCAAAAAGTTTTCTTTCATCAGCTGTGAAACTTATCTAAAAATATTAGTCAATACTGATGTCTTAATAAATTGAATAGAAATTAAAGATAAAGTAACTTTTGGCCATTGCTGCAAGTTGTCGAAGTATATACGGAGTTCGTTATATGCCAAAGTTAATTTCGTATATTAAATTTTGTGTTCCTTGGCCTGTGCGTGTATGTGTGTGTGTGCGTGATTATCGTTTTCGAGCACGAAAGTCATTTAACAAAGTGGCTGGCCCCATCCCCCAGCAACGCCTGTTACAGCTTCAATAATAGAGCCGGCGTCTGCCCAAAATAATTTGTAGCAAAACGTGAAACATAAACCAAAAATGTATCGCTGCCAAATGAAGGTCAATATTTTTTTCGTTTCATTTCCTTTTTGCGTTTATTATTATTATTTTTTTTTGAATCTCACCTGGCTCCGTTGTTGTGCTGGTGGTGGTCTCCACGGCCGGCGGCTCTGTATTGGCCTGGCTCTGGCTAACTCTGTCGAGCATCAGCAGCAGCACGGTCAAGGATATTAAAGCCCAGAGTGGCTTATGGCGCATACGCTGCCAGTTCCACATGTTGGCCAAGCTCACCAAAATTGGTTAACTGTTTGTTTTAACTGTTTTCGAACGCACACACACACACAAACACGAATCAATGGGCTGACATTGAGCACTCGAAACTTGTGCTTGGAGCTTTCACTGGCCTGTGGCAAGGATAATGTGTGAGTCTTGTTGCTTTTCAGTTTAGTTTTTGTTTCTGTTTTTCTTTTTTTTTTGAGGCGCCTTTAAACCGCTTTAAAGTTTTGTTGTTGACGTCGCTCAATGCCACAGTTTGGGGCAGCAGCAACAACTATGCTATGCTATGCTGCCTTGCCACAACGACGACAACACTTCACACGCTGCCTTCAATGGGCGCTAAAATAGAAATCCACTTGCAGTGACACACACAAACACACAGATATATATATATATATATATATATATCTATGTATGTATATATATTTTTTGGCAATCTGCCAAGTCAGTTTTTCACTTTTGTTTTCACTTTGGAGCTTAGAGCTGGCTTTTCCTTAATGCGCTCGGTTTTTCCTCTTCTTCTTCCAACTGCTCGCAACTGTCGCTGCTGACAAAATGCGTTGCTGCTGCTGTGACGCGTCCTTTTATAGTCCAATTTGGGCAGCATCGTTAGATTCGACGCCGTTCGCTCGTCCGCACTTCGGCACTGAACGAAACCGAAGCAGACGAACATTCTTCAGGATACGAGCTGCAGCCTCTGCTGTCACGTGCATTTTGCCGGTAACTCGTGTGTTTTTGTTTTGATTTTCGTTGTATGTGTTTTTTGCAACAACTGCTGCTGCTGCTGCTGCTTTCGCTTTTCTCTTGCCGCATTTTAGGCGCCAATTGTCTCTGTGTGTGTGTGTGTGCGGGTGTGTGGGTGCGTGTGTGTGTTTGCCCTTGTAACTTGCACGTAGCTTGCGTTGAAAATTGCACGCGTTTATTTCCCCTTGGCAATAGCTGCAAATGAAGTTTACTTTACTTGTGGCTGCTGCATTTGATCAGCTTAGCCATGCACACGCACACACACAAAGCCTTAATGCTATCAATTGCAGCCTTAGACATCTTGTTATCTTAGCATCTTGTCAAACATCTTGAGACAAAGCAAACAACAAGAAATTTCACTTAACAAGCTTAATCAATAAATTTAAGCTCGCAGCACAAAGATTTG